GAGAGAGAGAGAGAGACGCTTTTATTTGGAGTACGATATCGTGAAACTGTGCAGTGTGCAGTATGCAAACGATTACAAAGCAGCATGAGAGATACGGGGACTTCATTGTGTTATGAATTGAAGAAAATTTTAATTTCATCAGCAATTTATTTAATGTACATTTTGATATTAAATAATAAATTTAGTGTAGACAACATTACGAGATAATATTAAGAAATAATTATAGAAATTATAGGAATGATTAGATTATATTTAAATTTTTCCTTGCTATAAAATTACAATATTATCGCAAAATAATTAAATCTCTAAACTTTCATGAATGTCAAATTTCGAATTACATTTTAGAAAATGCGATATATTAATATAAAAATTAAGGAAAATCATTACATACGTTATATAGGACATATTAAATACAACATACAGTACAGTAAAATAATTATTGTTAATAGAATGTTATCTGTTGGGTGTGGTATTTTGATATATTCATGATGTGGTATTGTTATATTCAATGATGATAAACTGTGGCTTGATGCAAACACGTGCGTATGGAATCACGTGGCTTTTGTAATGAGAAGTTTAAGATTACATCGTGTATAAATGATAACAACGCTAATTACATGCAATTTTGTGTATGTTTCATATATTTTGATTAAAATTTGATAAATGATAAAATATAATCACGAAGCAAAGAGAGCGGACAGAAGAATAATTATTATATTTAAGCAAGAGAAAAGTTTTGTCACATTAAAAAATTATGAGGTGTTAATATGAGACACAGTCGGATATTAAATCTAATAAAATAATTAATTCGTCCTTTACATCATTGTCAAAATGATAATTTTTGAATCAATGAGACTAGGGTGTTAATTTATGCATATTTGGATATAAACATCTTTTATAACCGCGTCACTGATAATTTTTTGAGGATGGAATTATACCTGATGACTCTAGTGATAATCACAGACGCATTGAATACATGGTTTCAATGTATCAGTAATTGTATTGAGTTTCACGAATCTATTTTAGAGATTAAAAAGATCTTTAAATTTGTTATTATGTATAGCTACAATAAATGCAATAAAAGTTTTTATAAAAGTTTTCTAATTATTTTATATTTATTACAATATATCTTTACATATTACATGATTCGTGCAAAATACAGATACACGAAATTTTTAGTTAAGCCATTTCTTTTTAATAATGTGTGATTTTTGTTTCAACCATTCTTAGATATTTTTCTTCATAATTAATCATAATTTATAAATATATATATAGTTTGCCCATTAGAACCATAAGTTATTTAATCGTATTACAAATATCTACAGAATATCTAAAAAGCATAGCATATTAGTTAAATATTTCCTAAGAAAAGACAGAATGGTTTTAGTTATATAAATTTTTTGTATTTCAATTATTTAAATTTTCAAGCGATTGAACGAAAAAATTTTTGATGTCTTTGTCTGAATTTTCCAATTTTATATAATATTTCTGATATAACGATCTTCTTTATAAAAGATTGTTATTATTATCTAACAGACAATATTTTCTGTTTGCTCGCTTTTTATCTTAAATGATTGTTCTTGAAGACATTGAAATAGGATCGTGTAAGAGAAAGCAAAAGATAGAACTCGTTGAGAACCGAAATGAAAGCCGAATCGAACGATATTTGATATTGGATATTTGACGCGCGCGTGCATTAAGTTAATCTTTTTTATTCCGCGCAGCAAAAGAAATGTCAGCATATAGATTGCTTATTTATTAAATAAATAATACATTTATTATTTGCTTCTTAATATTAGTTACATAGAAAAAGAATAACGTTTTGTTCGTGTATAAATTCATGTATAATGTCGTAAAACACAAGACTGCTTGGGCAGATTCATTTTTCGAAAAAAGATTTTTTTTATCGTTGGGTGTTCGATAGATAGTGATCCATCGTTTGAAACTCGCATATGTGTCTACATACCGCATACGTGTGGAAAAAAATAAAAGAGGTTCCAATTCCAATTTTTAGTGCAAAATCAAATCAAATCCAATCAAACTTTGCACGTGCTGGTTTTTGACAAGAATCGAAATGTGTCGCGGTAATAACTGCAAAAAATGCACTATATACATTATTTATATCTTTTGGCAAAATAGAAACAAAATTAAAAAAAGAAGGAAAGATTAGAAAATTATTTTTTGAAATAACGTTGCTTGAACGTATTTTGAACAAAGTAGACTCTGACATGTTTTGTGGTCGAGCTTTTAAATGGATATTTAAAAGGGCAAGTCGTTAGTCATGAATCTATCAACGAGACGACATGTATATAAAGACTCATTCGCTCAGAGAGACTCGCGAGACTAGTGGTAGTGCCAAGCGATCGCGATTGGTAATCGCGATCTCTTCGGAAAGCACGCGCTCGTCTGGGCTTTGATTAACAGTCTATGCATCTTGCATACTCGTGTTAGACTCTCGAGTATCAACGATCCGAGCTTTACGGAGAAGCTACCACGAATATCAACTTTCACAGTCTCCGAGAGTTTGCTTTGGGTGCTCGAATTGCATCCGAAAGTTCTCGCGCCTAATCAGCTTCATCTGCCGGGCGTTAATTGATTCCTACAGAGAAGGCAATATGAGCTTAAGCTAAAATTTCAAATTGCACGTAGGCTAGATCTAGCAACGGATGATGATCTAAGGAAAATTACTAGGATTTTTTTGAATTTTCTATTAATAAAAATATTTTATATTTGTCGTGTGTTTTTAATATAGTAAACATCGATAGTTTATATTAAACACGACAGTTTATAACACGAAATAAATATGTACGTAGTTGCTGCACAAATTGATTGAATTTATCGGAATGTTATATTTAATTGAAAAATACATGGCGCCAAAAAATAAATACCACTGTATGTCTGTAGTCAAATGGGTAAAATGGGTATTTATTTTCACGGGGAAGGTTTAGTGATTGGAAATTTACTGTTTACTGTTTCGTTTATGACGTTG